CACATGGTGCTGCTACAGGATTTAACAGTACTGACTTATGTGCAATGTTTGAATGTCTTGTGTTTACTCCAAGAAAACTTGGATGGCACTTCTTTTTCAAAAAGTAGACAGATTTTGTTTGTGTCACAACATGGTATTATTTCATATCTCAGGGGTCTCTAGGAAGTGGACTGACATTAGTCCTGTAAAAGCAAAGCAGCTAACATCCTTGTTGTAAGTCTTGAGTCTTTGTCCTTTCCTGGCCCTTCAGCAGCAGGTCAGTCCCATAAAGCTACTTTTAAGACTAGACAGCCTAGCCTTAACCCTAGGACGAGAGCCCATGATGGTCAAAAGACAAAAGGTCAAAAACCCAAGAGCTGAAGTGAACTGTTGAAGCATCACACTGGACTGTTTCTCATTTCTTCACTCCACCTGTTACCACAGGTTAATTAATGCTACACTGCATGGCCTGCATGGCCTTCAAACTTTATAAATTCCTTTACAAGTTCCTTTTTCTAATCTCACCAAGCTCGGGCTTGACACATGAGCTTCATTGACATGTATTTTCTATAGATGCTGAAAGGCTTTATGTTAACCACAAGCAACACAACAATTTGTAGTAACCACTTTTAACTCATGAATCATTTTTGTTTAAAACAATCAATTTCCTCCTCCCTGACACTCTGCCTACAGGCCACTATATCCTGCATGGTGTTTTTATTGGTGCAGTATACTTTAGTATACTAGTAGTATTAAGGCTGGCTAAATATTCAAACACGTTGGATTTCACTTAGTAAAGGAAACCGGAGCTTGTGACTGACATTCACAGCTAGATTGTGTCTGTTAAAATGGAAGGAAAATGCTTCTTTATCACAGCCGTCACCTTGTAAATAATTCAAAAGCAGAGACTGATTTAAAAATAAGTGTTTGCAATGAGTACTATATTTGAAGCGATTTCTGTTTACTACGATGTAATGTAGGAAAATAACACATTATCATCTTCTTTTAAAATATCAACTAAAACCTACAAGCTGATTAACGAAGGAGGCTTAAATTTATGAAAGTAAACAGTGTCCCAATAGTCTTATTGCCCCACACAAGGGATTACAGGCATCAGGAGTGATGTTTGCCTCTGTGCACCTCGTTTAGCCATACCAGTAATAAGAGGCACAACAAAAACAAAGGAAGGGACGCACCAGGCTATGGCAAAGGGAGTATATCATGTAAAAGGCACAACACGGCTGCAGTGCTCTGTGCAAAAATAGCTCAAATTAAGTTCTGCCCAGCACACTGCACCATGTGGAGCAGCAGGCAAAAACACAGTCTGATACATTTAAAACACACACCAAGCCCCAAGCTCTTTATCTGCACCCCTGCAGTGAATTTAATGCTCCGTCCTCCATATCAACATACAGACCTGCTGTCAAAAAAAAAAGGAAAACAGGTGCATCTTTTGTCTGACTCAGTGAGTCTCATATCAGCTGAGAGGAGGAGCTCTGATTGATAAAAACACATAATGTAAGAAATAAATAAATAAAACCGAGTATTATAACTGACTATTTTTTCTCACTTGTTTAATCCCAGTGCAGGGTTCACTTTTGGGTCATTACAAGGTGCTAAACATATTCTTTACGGTTTTATTTTTTAAAAAAGCATTCAGATTACAGGTGGAGAACGTGATATACTAAACATAAACAAAGGCGCCATATCGCAATTTGCCATAGTAGCCTACTACTACAGTTCATTTAGCAGGGAAACTATATTCATGGCATCAATAATAAAGGAATAAGATGGGATGCTTCGGGTCTATCTGCACTCCTTACCTTGCTTGAGGCACTTTTTCACTTGAAGCCGATGGTATAATCTTTCAATCCATTGATGCTCTTCATTGAGACTCAAGACGCAGAGTAAGGTGTTCCCGTCCCTTTTCTTCAGGGATAAATATGATTTACAAAAAAAAGGGCGATTTGTCAAATGAAAACAAGAAAGAGTTGGATAAAAGGCAGGTGGTCACATTTTTTTGTCTGCAGCCAACGCGTGGATCACAAGAAAATGTAAAAAAAACATCATATAAATCCATGGTTATTAGACTTATTAACAAAATTCAATAAAATCCATTAACCCGGGACACCTTCACGAGTCCGACTTCAGCCCATTTAACGTCCATTTAAACTTTCCTCGCCTCGACTTTTATGTCCGCAATGGTCTCTGTCCAAAAAAAGTAGCTTTAATCAGAGGTGTGAGTTTATCATTAACTTCATAAATATGTAGAGAATGCTCTTGGTCAACGCAGTGCTCATGTATCACCAGAGAAGCGCAAGTTTCATCAGAAAGGGAGCACACACTGCACGTTTGGCTCCAGACCTGCTGTTGATACTCTCTCTGTGTCCCTCCTCCCTTATTATCATTCCCTCCTCCCCCCCTACTACTGTTCATACTACCGTCACTTCACACAGAGAGCAGCCACTACACTTCTGCTTCCACCTTTCAAAATAAGAGTCCCTCTGAAAATTAGAAAGGGTCCATATAGAGCAGGGACGGGCAACTTTGGTCACAACAAGGGCCACATTCATTCAATTCTCACTGCCAGGGGGCCAAATTGTAGTATACAAAAAACGATTACAGTCAATTATGTCTCAAATTTAACTCATCATATACCAGTGATCAAATATTATTATGGACATATTTCTGGTTTTCATGATTTCATGGCAGATTTTGTCATGTTTTCTTCATGTTTCCAATTAATTGATGTGTAGAAATTGACCTGAGGGCCACGTTGAGGGTTGATGGGGGCCACATGTGGCCCCCGGGCCGCCAGTTGCCCACCCCTGATATAGAGTCACTGTAAGAGGTGTATATTACAGCTGCGGCAAAACGTCTGTAAAAAGATTTGTAAGAACGTTTTACTAATCCTTCAATAGTTTACATCATTTGTTAAGGACACATATTAGCTCCTGCATCTCAAATATAAGAATTGAATGGTTAACCTCTGATTTAAAAAGGCTTATAATACTTGTTACATCATAACATTTCTCATGAATGGGTGGGACAAAAAAAATCTAATCAATTTAACTTTGCTCTGCAAAATTTTTACATTCTTTTACAGAATCTCTTTTTGACTATGTTAGTCACCAAATCACCAATAATTGCAAACTGACCAAAAATGTATTTATAAGGGCTATTGCGCTTAGATATAATTAAAAAGGTACCAGGTGTAGATTAAAAATTATAAGTGTTTAATTATGGTTTAATGAGTACTGTTATTAGTCATTCAAAGTAAACTCAATAATTGTATTTCTAACATAGATGCATTTCCTGCTATGAACATTTTAAATACAATATACGCATAAGCTCTATCGCCTCACAGGCTATTACAACATAAATGAAATGTATTTTTACAACATCCAGTAAAACTCTTTGTAAGTATCTACTTTAAAACACCCCTGACTTTATTGAGCAGTATAATCAGAATATCTGACAAAGTTAAATAGCACTTCATAATGGGTTCATTGTATGACAAATCTGGTATTAAAAACTTAAAATAAGAGCCAATAAAATAGTGTTCAAAGGATGTTGGGGCTGAAGTGTACAATGAGCAGAAAAGCGCTTTTACTTTGAAGGTCAGATGATCGAGTCTCCGTCTGTCTACGTGTAACTTGATGCTGCTGGTACTTTAGCGCCTCAGACAAAAGCGCCTTTTCGTGGGAAAGACTTGAGAATCATAACAAAAGGCAGACGAACACCAAAAGGAAAATGGTTATCCAGAGAGCTGTTCGGTACAGCATTCACCAAATGTACAACAGAAACCCCTTCCCAGTATGTCAAATATAAATAATTTAATTTAACTACTGAAACAAGATCCAACCTTTCAAATATGCTTCAGCCTGAAAAACGTCTGACATGAAAATAAAAACTTAAATACACTTTAAAATGTTCCAGCTTATTGTACCTTACTGTAAAGTCAACATTCAAAGTAACATTAAAGTTTTATTTAACATACAAAAAAATATATAGGAACAAACGATATACAGTTGAAGCGTTTGGTTTGTAAAAGGTGTAAAGGTGGGCCATGTGACCTTTGACATGCGCAGCTGCATAAATTAAGCTAGCCAGAGCCAGCAATTGTTCCCTTCATAAACCTTTATTTTAATTATACATGTGTTAGGATAGAGCTAAGCTAGCTTTTAACCTACCTTTAATACTTTATTAACAAACATTTTAATCTCAGTGATATATCGTTAACATTGCGCTAGTGTTAGTCCAGTTTGAACTGATTCATTTTTTTACTTCTTGTTTGAATATTTATTTTTGAACAGTTAACAAAAACGTGTATTTGTCTTTTTTTTCCCGAGTAATCTGAATGACTCACCCAAATGTTTAAAAAAAAGATAGTTTTATTAAGAGTGTTTTAAAAGAGAGAGAAAGATTTTAATTTTCTTACCTATTAAAGACTTGGCGTTGTCCTCCTAAAACGAGATAAAAGTAAGATAAAGATGTCATATCTACTTTCTTATCTGATGGTCGTGTGGTCGGTTAGTTAGTCGTCATTTGGAGAGGGGGACACATTGATATCTTATTACACTTTGAAACAACCAATCCTGATCCTGAACAGTATGACCACCTGGGGGTGTTTCAGCTCAGCAAGGGTTAATGTCAGAGTGCATTTAGTTACAGTATTATACATCTTGTTCAGGGGGAATTCATCAAAAGACTCTTTTTATTAGCTTACAATGAGTTTGCCTTTATTACTTGTTGTGAACTGGCATTTTATAAAGTAAAATTATATATATTGTGGACAATTTATCTTTAATTACCTACTAGTGTACATCTTAGCAAACAAAATCTCTTTGAGCTAAGCGATATACAACCCTACTCACTGCTTCTGCTATTGATTAATAACTAAAACAAAGGGTTATCAAAGACATTGCCAAGGTATAAAACTTGCAACATTTTGTGCTAAATTGCTACTGTAATAAAAATAAAGACACCAGGAACCAAAAAAGTCAGTCTGTCATTTCTACTGATTTTGTCTGATTTTAATTGTGGGTTGCTCCTGAAAGAGCATGAAGCTCTGGAAAAAAAAATCAGTGCTGACATTTGGCATTTGATCTGTTATTGCTAAAACTAGGTGAGTGGTTACTGATTTAGCAGACACATTTACTAGCAAGAGGAACAAAAGATTGATACATAGATTGTTCATTATTCCTACTAACTCAGCTGTTCGGAGGGGAGAGGAATCCTTGCTCAGAGTGTTTTCCATTTTCCTGCATTGGAAATGGAGGGGGTAGCTTTGCATTTCACTAGCACACTTTGAAATTCTGTTGAAATTGACAAGTTGATGTCACTGGTTAAAAGGATGGAAGCTTTTTGACGCAGGTTAACATGATGTCACATCTAAATTGCGTGTGCACCTCCCTGTTTGACAATGTTTACTCTCGCAGGCGAGGTGCACCATATGGAGATCAAAGGATTGGAATTAATCACATAAAATCCTCAGCGAAAGAACGACGGCACAGTGAGGAAGAATTAAATGGAGGGTGAATGCATCAGTGTTATACAGTATACTGATCATAACGCCAACAAACTATTAATAACCTTTTTATATGATCTGCTATCTACCAAAAACATGTGTGGTCTGACTGAGTAAAGATAATCTAAACAATTAAAAATCATAGAATACAAATAAGAGAATCTTATATCTGCATTTTAATTAATTGATCAAGCTATCAAAGCAAATGTACAAATCAAAGTCTGAAATAAATTCACTTAATAACATCAGGTAGGCATCACTATCAACACATTATCTGTAACCCTGAACATACTTAAAAAATCCTTCAGATTTGGTTTAAAGCAATTCACAGAATCTATTCAATCCATTGTTTTAAATATCCATGTCTGCAATTTCGAACAGGCTAGTTATAACGACTTCATGTAAGAACAGGAAGACTGTGGCTATCAGTCATCAAAGTCTGGGATGTCATCATAGGAGTAGCCATGGTAGCCTTTTGATGCATAGTAAGCTATCCGTAGGTGGTAAATTCCAGGCAGGAAGACAAGGATCCCGATGATTAGGACAGGAACCGTTCGGTCTGAGTGCTGAAAAAGACACAACATGTCAATATGACATCAATGTTAATGAAGTAAATGTACTGGTCATACTGTTTCAAATACTGTTAAACTTACTGTGACTCCAAAGTATCCAGCCAGGAGAAGGGCGCCAATGATGATTAACAGAGAGCCGATTAAAAAGAGGACTGTTGCTAGTGCTATGGCTTTGTATGGGACTTTGGGCGGGGGCTTTTTGAACTGCAGGGGAGGAGAAATATTTGATTAGAAAACCTTTTCTCAAGTCACAGCAGGCTTTCTATTGCAATGCTTGCACTTGAAGTTCTTGAAGAAAATTAAAGGTCATGACAAGAAAGTTGACTCTCAGAGCCACGAAACTCCCACCTCACATTAATGTAAGTGAAGACGTAAATGTGTTTGCTTTACACTGTAACGCATCCCTTGGTATAACCCTCATTATGTCATGGGTCATCTCGACTTGTGATGGGCTATCTGGACTTAATTTGTGTTTGTTCTGAATTGTTCTGATGTAACTCAAACCTAGTAGTTTAAATGTTGCCTATAGCTGAATATCCTGTAAAAAAGGGTATAGGAATAAGAAGCTTAACCTTCAGCCTACACCTTTTCAAATGGCTCCATCTCTCAATGTATTTTATTTGTAATGAAGATGACAGTTCAGTGTAGTTTTTGTGGGGGTCAATTTTATATTCTACCACTACTGAGTTTGCTTTCTTTCCCCCACAACTAGAACCAACCCTCTTCCAATTCAGACAATTTTAACATAATAAAAAAACATTTCGTAGGCTGTGCATTGAGCCTATTATGGGTTTCCTTCTTACCTGTAAGTCAATGTAGCCGTCATCATCACTGGCTAACCTAGAATACCTGACTTTGTTGTTGGGGCTGTCGTTTGATACAACGCTGCGAGCTGGCATCTTATTCAGCTACTACTAGTTAGTTTTCAGAGAAGAAGAAGTACTATTACCACGGCTACAGAAGCATTATCCACACAGCAGACATATAACCGATCATTTACAGCAGAAAAACACTAAACTATTTCTCCAGATAAGACGCAGGACCGTTTCTTTCCCCTCATAAACAAGTTTTGAGAAGAGATTACAGCGAGGTGATGTCGTCTAATGTGGAGCTTCCGTGTTTTCGTCTGGGCGTGCACTGCGCTTGCGCACAGCGACTCAACAGTCTCGTACGCCTATACCATAGACTGTAAATATTACAGGTATATATTACCTATACTTTCGGTAGGCTAGTTTGTATGAAAACAAATAATAATGCAACGTTAATGCAGATTGCACGATACATTAAAGTTGTTAAAATGACTTTACATGCTTACATTGTTGTTCCGAGTTGTGAGCTGCACCGCTGCGTGTTCACCGCCAGAGGGCCCTGCTGAATCGTTTTATAGTGAAACGATAAGGCGACTGTAACTGTGATATTTCAGTGTCGAGATTCATTTCTTTCTGTGGATATTTATATCATGCGCTGTTCCTTTAGACTAGCTTTACGATCACACTGTGTTCTCACGAGATACATTTCTGTCTGGGCTTGCAAATCTTTGTATTCATTAGTGTGAGTAACACAAGATGATCTATACAGACAAACTTCCTCTGAAGGCTATTTTTAGCCTGAGCTGCAATCTTCTACATCACACACATATTGCCGATTTTAATAAACAGAAAATACGAGAAGGGCAGAGTCACTTGATGAAGATTGCATTTAATTATTTCTTAAGAAACTAAACAAATATGAGTAAGATTTTATGATTACCATCATCAATCACATCCACGTGCAGCTGTTTGTGAATGCCACGTTGTCTCTTCCAGATATTATCATCACTCTGTTCATGTACAACAATAACCTGGCCTGTGAATGACTTACAATGAAATAGACAAAGTACACAACTAAACATTTGCTGACATGCCCCCTGAATTAGTCACTAATGATGTGTTAGTGTGTGTAATGTCTTTTTTCCCCACTTTTTCCCAGTTATTATTGTCCCAGTTCCCTGCTGGTCAGTTAAGTTAGGGCTGTTGCATAGACAAATACAGTCTCTCCTGTAAAATCCTGCCTGACCCTGAAGCTGTACAACATGGATCACTATGATTCAGGTTTCTCAGGCAGAGCCGTGTATCATATCCACTCAACATTTCTCAAAATACACCACTACTTGCATGAGCAATCAAAATAAAGTAAATACCTATTATTAAGAGATTGTACTGGCAGAATCCATAATATGTTATTGTTGCTCTTAAAGTACCTGGTAGAAAACGAGTCTCAAGAGATCATTAGTACACTCAGCGACCTTGACTGCAAGTCTCATTGTTGTAGTTTAAGGCTGTGCTGCTGCTCTCTGGGGGGATAAAAGCCCTGAAATCATCTGTTTTTCAGTCTCACATTCTGGTTTTGTTTTTCCTGCATGTAATATGAATCACCCTGCATTATGCTCCACTGTATGCTCTCTCTTCTTGTTTAATATTCTGATGCATATTCACAAATAGATCCAAGCCTCTACAAGACATAATCTCCATGAAACAACCTGGACACATCTTTGTTTCATCGGGGATTACACATCTGCATTTTTTCCTTTTTAGTGGCCACTCAAAGTGCTTCAGTCTTGCAAATCTGCCATGCACAAGTGTGGAGTGCATTTGACTCCTACATAATGGCCCGTTCTCCTCTCTTTTCCAGGACAAAACCATCTGATAATCTGATTGTTTAGACATTGTGTATGTACAGTATGTGCATGTTGCTGCCTTAGTTGTTCTTGTTACAGGCAGTAACTGAGGATAACTGTTGCCCTTTACTTTATTAATGAAGCCTGTTTCCTTACACATATTTCTCTGTGATGTGTGACTAAAAGTTGGCTGCACTCATTAGCCGGCTCCCACATTGCGCCACCAAGTGCATATGGCCTTTGTAAATCAAATACTTTCTTCTTATCTACCCTGTCTCCTTTCAATCAAGGTTACTGCACAAGTCTCAAATCCTCCCTCAGTCTTTACTTTAGAATTATGGAATTTTAATTTTTACTGTTTCAGCTTTAGTGGATCAATCTTATTTAAATTCATAAATTTAAAATGAATTGGCTCACAACAGGACCAGCTATGGAGTAATCCATCTGTAAGGGATCCTGCTGCACTATTGTTTGTTGTCAGACATGGCTGTCCTCATATCTCTCTTGAGTTGCTGAAGTACATTGGATTTTAGGGATTAAAAGGGGATTTTCCTGTTAACTATCAGTGCATTGTCCTCCACAATGCAAATAACAACGCTGTTCGTGTGACATCTGGAGCTGTGATTTATTAATCAGATGATAGGCAAGGCTGTCACCGGTCAGAGGGGGGGCAGAGTGTGTTGTCATTTTAGATAATCCCTGCCTCTAGACCATAATGCCTGCACCGAAGAGCATCACAACAGCTGAGCACATGGAGCCCTCAGGATGTATTTAAGTATTTTTGCGTGTGAATATGTGTGTGTGTGTTTGTAATTCAACAAGGTTGGAAGACAGCAGCAGTCCCTCCATAACCCCTGGGTATGAGACTGAACAGTAAGAGAGCAGCATTTAGGCCATAATTAGAGTCCTGCTCAGAGTGGAGTTCTGTCTGTGGAGATAATTAGGTCTGTCTTCATTAAAGCAATTGCAGATAGCACCCTGACTGGAGCCCAATAAAACGCCAGGCCATTATACCACTTGAACAACATGCAGCCTCCCTGCTCAGCCTTTTTACTCTTTAACCCTACAGGTTTTAGCAATGATCGAATGTGGGGGAGCTGATGAGCAACAAGCTTATGAAAATGTTCAAATAAGCCTGTACAGACTGATTTGATTCCTATATATTTAGGCTCACCCAGCCACATGTGGACGCAGTGGATGAATGAGGTGTTTCATGACTTGTCTACATTTATTCACAGATATTGAACTCATGATGAATAGTAATATGTATGTAGGATGTGTGCATGGGTAAGCAAGCTTTCACTGTTTTTATAATTAGACCCGGTACCGCCATAGCTCTGTAAAAAAAAAAAAGCAATGTCTGTCAGATGGTCAATCCTGCACTCAGTCCATACTGAAATATCTCAACGACAACTGGATTGACTGCTTTGAAATTTGTGATGGTCCCCAGACTATGAATCCCCCTTTGTTATTTTCATTATGCTGTCTACAGTCAGTCAAAGTTTACACTTAAATCTGGGAAATGTTTCTGCAACTCCAGGATTGATTGGCAAAAAAATAGCTGTAGGTATTCACATTTCAAAGCTAAATGAAACTTTAACATCGCTTGACCTTTTCTCTAGCCCCATCAATATGTTGGTGCATGGGGGTTTGAGAAAAGGTAGGAAATCTTTTAAACTGGATTGTTAATAAGTTTGGTACAGACATTCATGTTCCCCCTTCAGGATGAACAGAATCAGATCATGTAGGTCCTGTAATTCTGTCTGTTGCTGCTTCTAAATTAAGTATTTTTCCCCTCTTTAATCTGCATTGCAGGTTCAAGCTCAGATCAGCTTTATTTTTGAGCGTGGGTGGACAGCTGACTGGTGAAAGATAATATTTGAGGAGCTTCATAAAGGAATGGCTGACTCTGTTAACATTATTTTTTGTTATTAACTCAGTTTTTTCCTACAATGTTTGATGGGAATAAACACAGTTTGAGTGGCTTTGAGAATTTGAGCACAACATAACACATAAACTCAGTGCTTCCAATTTTACTTGGTATTGAAAATGGAGAGCAATTTAACTAAATTTTCTTCTGAAGATATATTTCATTTGACTGTTATTCTCACAGATCAGAGTCCTGTAACATTATTTCCTGCTTGCGTTTAACAGTTCTGATGATTGAAATCCTTTTTAAAAAATGTTTTTGGTAAATTCAGAAGCAAGAGGTTCAGAAGAAATCTCTTGATATGCAATTAAGGTGAATGTCATTGTAAATGCCAACATTAGTTTGAATGCTTGGCTGAGGTTAGTTGCCTCTATGATGGCAATATGTCTTCCAGAGCAGAGGTATTGATTTCAATGTCTTTCAAACTCAGCAGCCTTCCTCACTGCATGGGCGGACCAGACAGGTAATTGCTTTTCGAAACAGGTCTTACATGATAGACCCTCATTATTCTTGTATTTTATTAAAGTGTCAGATTGATTCACTTGCTTGGTTTTAATGCAAACACAATTATATAATAATTGATGTGCTGTTAATGAAACTAAAGTTATTTAGAAAGTTGCCTGTCAGCGTCACTGCAAATCAATCCTGCATGCACAATAATGACATTGAAACATTTTTGCTGCTTAAAATGTCTTTAGAATTAGAATTTTGACTTTTTCTTTGATAAAATAATTCATTATGTAGAAAAATAAAAACATCTATTGATGTAAACCTTGCTTTTTGCTGATGGGATTGTGGTTTTACTGAGTTCAGCAGTGTGCTTGTGATTTTGCTTTAGACATGACAAGGTAGATTTGTCCTCAAGCAGGAAGAAAGACACAGAGCATTGCCTAATCAATAGGACGGATGATCATCGATTGATTACAGGAGCTGGACTTTAAACAGTCAAATGTTGAGTTCAAGATGCACTCAACACTTCTCACTGTGAACAAGCAGCATCCCTGTGGTACAGTGTTCACAGCTGGGCTTGGAAAAAGACTTGGAAAAAAAAAATAGTCCGCAAACTGGCTTAACCGAGGATTTGTCTACAGCGGGAAAGAGACAATTGGAAAATCAATGTACTTTTTTTCTCTTCTTTTGTTCCAGTTGGTGTGTTAGTGCATCTGTTTCTGCTTCATCCTTTCTTTGTAGCTTAATTGAAAAAAAAGAGGAGACAAGTGAGAGCCCAGGCGTTGAGTAATAAAGTCCCTGGTGAAATTGCAGTGCTAAATAAATTGCAATTGACTGATATGACTCACACATTAACAGATGTGTATTGACTGAGTTGCGCAACACATAAACCAGAGAGCATAAAAGGATTAATATAAGCCTATATACACATATTGGGCCCAATGCATGTTATACAATATCTTGATATGGGCATTAGTATTTTAAATTCTGTTCAAAGGACAAAGGCAACTTATAGGAACTTATTCAAAAAAAAAAGTATTTTTTAATGTACATTATTTTGATCAAATAATGTGCTAAACAGCTAGAGCACATTTAGCTAGTT